TTAAATTACTTCATTTTAAGAGAAAAAAAAAATTATCCAGACTTTCAGTTAAAATTTTCGCGTAATTAAAAAAGATCAAATAATTTTAAAAAATTTTCCCATTTACTTTTTTGATCTGCTTCCTTAAAATGTACATATTTAATTTATTATAAATTATTTATTTATATTTATATATATATATATATATATATATATTTTTTTTTAAGATAATCGAAAAAACAAAAGGTGAAAGTCAAAAATCGAACTACTTTCTATCGACTGAAGGATTTATTTTTTTTAAATTCATTATTTTATGTTAGCATTTCTTGGCTTCAATTTAATTTTTCTAAAAACAAGGTTAGCTGCAGGATGGCGTAATAATCTTGTTGCTGCCATAGTAGTAGTTCTTAGTGGCTGCTGCTGCTATCGTCTTTTTTCGTTAAGTTTTTTTTTTCTATTTCTTTTCTTTTGGAATAAAATAAAGAAAGAAAAAAATGTAAGCATTACGAAGACTAACAAAAGAAACGTTACGCAAATTTACTGACTATATTGTGTAGTCTTAGAAGAATGGAAAATGACTGTATAATAAAATGATTAAAAAATGAAAATAAATTAAAAAAAAAAAAAAAGCTTGGTCTGGGCCGGGGCTTCTTGGCCGGCCATGATTTCAATTCAAATAATTTTTTTTTTTTTTATATTTAAAATTAAAATGTAAAAAAACTTATAAATAAAGAGAACACAGACTTCATTTATTCATTCTTTAGAAAAATGATAGAAATTTTCCATGAAATAAAAATGTTTTCATTTATTATCTATCCTCAAATTACATCAAACTTTCAAAAATAAACACTTTGCTTCTGCATAGCATAAATAAATTCATCATTTATTTGTTTATTTAAGAATATTGATAATTTTAGCTATTTTCCATCGGTTGTGCAGAGTAAAAATGTTTATTTTATTGTGAAATGCCACTTAAATCATTTTATAAGAATTACTAATGACATTAACTTAGAAAAAATTCAATTTAAAACTAAAAGTAACGTTACTTTAGTTTTGAAGTGCTGCAAGGAAAAAATTAAATTTAAAGTTTCCTTAGTCTTTTTTTCGGTTAAAATTTGTAAATAATAGAATTGTCATGTTAGTAATAGTTTTTAACTGATTATTCTTTTGTTCTTTAAACAGGAAAATTACTTAATGACCAAAAATTAATGCCTTCATATCAGAAATTGCTTTTTTTATTTGCATAAAAAATAAACACAAAATTCAAATAAGTTTTCTTAAAACACCGAAAAAAGTCGGGCTGCTGTTTTGATATTTGACCTTTTCGAAAACTTAAGCCAAACTAACTAAAAAATTATTCATTATTTTAAAAATTAACAATGTTTTCGGGTTTATTATTTTTGCACGCAAAAGTTTTCTTTTGATCATTCATTACATTCATTAATCAATTTCACCTTGCGATATAAAATTCTTTTTTAAAGTGCAATGTTCAATATCTTTCTCCGTTAATTTTTATATTTTCCTTTTGTTAATAACTCAGATTCAGATAGCAAAAAATTAACAAATCAAAATGTGCTTTCAGATTTTCATTATTTTACGTAAATTATTTTTTTCACACGTAAAAGTGGCTTTCTCTAGCGAAATTTTGATCTAAGCGCTTTTATTTGTAAGAAGCTGATTTCTTAAATGTTGCAACCTACTTAAGTACAGCAGCAGATACATCTGCATTATAAAAGTGGAAATAATATTAACCCAGATAAAAGGTAGTAAAAAGGCTTCCTCCTGCTAGTAATAATAGTTATTGTTGAGCCATGTGCAAATGCGCAAGGGGAGATAACTCGATCATCAATTCCTCCCAACACACGCTATCTTCTAGTAATGCCAATTTAAGCTAAATTCAGTTTCGAATGAAGGTAACACTTTCATTTTTTTTTTTTTTATTATCTAGTAAATTTTCAAGTCCATTTAACTTTTTGTCACATTTGTCTTTTACTACTCTTTATTTTTCACCTTGTTCTCTAGTTATATTATTTTTAATTAATTTGTTTTTCAATTCTTAAATTCGTTGCCAAACTTTCTTCGACCTTTTCGATAATGGGATTAAAAAGTCTGAATACGTTTGTTTATTTTTATTTGATTTAGTAGAAAATTGAAAACATTGAGTTGTCATTATTATTTCCTAATCTCTTTTTGTGGGTTTGTAATGTAACAGTTGAGTTGAGTAATATTCATTTAAAGTTCACTCGGGCAACATCGCTCTCACCCACTCAATGCATGAAAACAACGACGACGAAGAAATACAATTATTAAATCTGTTTAGTAGGAGTATCACTAAATTTTGGAGGTGGTCATTATTTTGTTTTCTTTCTTTCTTGGGGAATGCTATAAAAAGAAACAATATAAAAAGAAGTGTATTTTCGATAAAAAATCACCATGTAAACTAAAAAAAATAAAATAAAAACTGATTTGTTTGTAATGAATTTATTACTTTTTAAATTTATTGTTAACATTTTTATGTAGCAGATTTTTTTGTAAAATTTTAATCTGAAACTACATGTGTGTGGTTTCAGATTATTTCTTAGTAGTAAATAAAGTTAAAATAATTATAAACGTTATATTTTAGTGGATACCTGTATTTGAGTTGATATCCCTGTTTTTTCTTCTTTTTTCTACATTGAGAAGTCAACTAAAGAAAGAAAAATCTCATTCTTATTAAATTTATTTCACTGTTTAAGAAAAAAACCGCAACCCCACCACACCCCCAAGCAGTAGTAACATCTCAAACGTGTACCCACTAAAAATAACGTTTATATAGTAATAAGAAATAATGTCGGATAAAAAAATAAAATCCATTCAAATATATACTCATTATAATTTACTGACTTTCAAACCTTTTGTTTGAACGAATAATTTTAAAAAAATTCAAGAATTCAAGTCCAGTTGCCTACTCGTGCTAAATTAAAAATAAAATTATATTCCAGTTGTTTAATGTTCTCAGATTTATTAAACTTACTTTGACTATTTCCTTACGTTTTCTTATAACAAGATGTTTAAATTTTAAAATACTAATCAAATTGTAAAGTTATCAATGAAATTTAACATACTTAAAAATCTAGTAGTCATGAGATAATAATAATAATAAAAAGGTAATTTCTTTTTGACAAAAACTTTTAAATGACTGAAAGAAAATTCATTTGAACAAGAACAAGATGTTATCAATGCTCCTCAGATTATGAAGGGTAAATTTGCATATATCAACACTCAACAGTAAAACATCTCCCGGAACAAATTCATGGGGGAGGGGGGGACTCACACACATGAATAGAGGTTTACTTTAAAACTTTTGCTTTTCAACATTATTTCTAATGTATTAGTTGTAAAAAGTAAGACAAGAAAAATCCCTGAAGATGTTCCAGTAAGAAATTTCTAATGTGGACATACTGAAAAATAAAATTCGTCCAAAATCCTAGCAAAAATAATTCAATAAAACACAAAAAATACTTTTTGAGAATTGGTGTTTTTGCATAAAAACATTATTTTCTTTCAGAGTGCACAGAAAATTTTACAAAAAAAATGACTTGTAATTTTTCTGTGCGATTTCGAAATACATTCCGCTGCTGTTCGTCATAAGAGTTTTTATTAAATAAAGACATGATTGAAGAATTGAAAAATGAAGTTTAATGTCATTTTCGAGTGTGAACCTTTTTAAAAATTTTATTTTTTCATTTTAGCAACGGGTAGATTAATTTTTATGGACGTACAAAAGGGAAATAATTCTGATTTCTCGCCTTTGATTATTCTAAGTTCCATAAAAGCATATAGAATAAAAATTGTATTCTTAAACTGTTGGTTATATAGGATTGTAATAATTTTACAGACAAAGTAAAATTAAAGGCCAATAAATAATTAAGAACTCGAAGTGAACACAACCTATTAATCATTTCAATAATTCTACCAACTCTGCCAATTTTTTTGTTACTGCAAAAAACTACATTATTCTAATACATTTTCTTAAATTCAGAATTATTTAAAATAAAAAACCACATTGGGAGCAATTACGTTATTTTATGGTATGAAATATATAAGAAAATATAGAATAAAAGCAATGGATTAAACTCAAAAGTATCATTTAACTAACAAAAATAATTACTAATGTATAAAAAATAAAATTCATTCTATTAAGTTTGATAAAAGTGTATAGAATAAAAATATTCTTAAACTATGGGTTATATAAAGTTAAAGATAACTTATTTTCTAAACACAAATACCAATTTATTGGTTATTGCACTGCTGGTATTCTATATTTCTTTAATTTTTATTTTTCATGCATTTTTTAAAGTAAGGATATACAAATTTTGTGTTTACCCTTTGAACCCACAGGCTACCATATGTAAATAAAACATTTTTATTAGGTTTTAAATAAAAGATAAACCTTACATTTAAAAAATTCAGTTAATTAAACCATAAATTCACTAAATGACTTCAAAATATATAATTTATATATCTTTAGGACAAATATTGGACTTTTAAGGGATTTTAAAATTTGTTGTTTACATTTTTTTGTCTATAAAATGAATGACAACAAAACATGTCAATGTTTTAAAAATGCCTAAAAACTTCAATTACATATGGAAATTAATTTTTCTTTTAATATGGATTAGCAAAAGCTATTGTTTCAAATAAAAACCAATATTTAACTTCAAAGAAGACACTTAAAAATATTTAAAATGTGTTTTGGGGGTTTTTTTTACCTACATATTTTGAATTTAAAATTTATATAGTTTTAAAATATTTGCTTTGTGTATTTTAATATTTTTTATTTTAATTTTATAAATTGAGCTTAAAATTTGTCATGACTTTAACTGATGTTTGATATTCTTTTATTTTAAATGTGCTTATCACTTTTATAATATTTAGATTTTAAAATTCTTAAATATTTTATTAAAAAAAATTTAAATGCAAGACTAACACTTTTAATTTCAGATGGCATTGCAATTTAGTGAATGGTAATTTTAGTTGCCATGGAAACAAGTTCATCACCAAGTCAAACAGGTGGGAAACATGCAGAAGTAAAAACACCACGTGGCATCATATTAAAACAATCTCAAGTTGTTGATGGTTTAGGTGAGGGTCATTCTGATTATTAATTATTCTCAGTTACAATACATAAACTTGCTTATTATTTTCTTCTATAGAAGTAAAACTGCATCTTAGATCTGAAGTTTTTAAATAATACTTTGTGACAAATGCTGTTTTCATAGTTTGATCTCTCTCTCTCTCTCTTGCTCTTAAATAAAAGAAAAAGTTGTTTTTAAATTTTGTTTGTTTATATAAATTTAGAATGCCATATCTTTTGTCTGGATTTTTAATGCATTCTCTAATTTAAAATTATAGATTCTTAATCCAGTTTTGTAATTTATTTCTTATTTTTTTAACTATTCACTTTAACTGAATTGTTCTTATATGGCATATCAAAGTACCAGATGGACTTTTTCGCTCTCATCCCAGAACTCTGCTGGAAAGATTTTTTAAACTGTCCCACAATTAAAATGTTTTGTTTCTTTTTTTGTTTTTAAACTTTATTTTTATTCATAGTTGTTAGTAGAATAAAAAATACCATTAAAACATTTAGGAAATAAATTTAAAAAAATAAAAAGCTAAAACAATAAAGTTTTAAAATGAATAAATATAAAAACAAGTTATTTAAATTTGATTGCAATTTTTATAAAAATCACAACTTAAACATTTTATTTAAATTACCTTGAATAATTTTACATTAAAATAGTGTTATTAATTTTCATAATCAGAGTAATGATGATATTTTAAGGATTGTGATCTATGCATTTGTTTTCTATATGAAGAATAGCACATTCCAAATATTCAGAAAAGTTTTTAAAGCCTTTATTTTAAAATTTTAATTTTCTCTGTTTCTTAGGAATCTTGTACTTGAAATTCAAGTGATCTACTTTTATATTAATATTCCTCATATTTCTGCCCCTGGGGTAGTCTTCAGAGAGGTTTTAATAATTTAGTAATTCCACCTTGGTCTGGAAAGAGTCTTTGTTCAGCAACCTTTCTAGAGATAGTGTTTTGATAAAAATGACCAGCCACCTGTGCTGTTAATAGGAGTAGATAGGTTCCCTATCACACAGCCTGTACACCTTCCATGTTTATTGAACAAGAGTATAGTTTTATTCCTTGTTTCCAATTTAGGATTTAGTTTACCAGTTCCTTTCTCCCATAGCCTTAATGATTTAACTGTCTTTGGTGATATGACTGATCAGTAGCAGCAACTTTTCATTTTGAGGGTACCAGCTTGGCAGTTTTCTGGTTGTTGCATTTCAACTGGTAGTAAGGAGCCTGAACTCTGGTCAATAGTCACACAATATTGAAATATTTGCAGTACCATATTACACATAAATAGGTTCCCTGCATATATTTTTGGTGGCAACCCTGAGGCCACATTATGCTTTGACTTGGCCAGCTTCTGGCTATAGACAATGAACAGTGATAATTATTTTTTTTCTACTTAATAATTAAAATAATCTTATGGCAGTTACAATTAAAAGAAATACAAGTAAATAAAAAAAAAAATCACCTTTCTTTCACCAATATTCATGGTATTCATACCAATTTCTATAGGGTAGAATCTTTTCTCTTGAAATGTTCTGGTATCTTTGTTTTGTGAAACTAATTTAAACTTTTCTCTCATTACCAATGATTTTTTTTGTTCCAGGCTATCTTCCTTTTTGTCAAAAATTCAAGGATGCATATGCATGGTTTTAGTTTTTACATTTGGGAAAATCTTTTAATGACAAGGGCATCATTTCTTTAGTCCCTGAATGATTCTTTTGTGTGCTTTTGACTTTCTTTATTGCACTCTATTAGTTATCTTGTTTTTCTTTTATCACTCCCTCTCTTAAGACTGAAATATTTGCCAAGATATCTGATTATAGAAATGAATCTCACTATCTGCATTCATCTGTAAACATGTTTGTGTTTGGAGATTTTAATGCTCATCATGTCAAGTGGCTTAATCATTCTAATGTTGCTGGTGTTCAGATTTTCAATTTTTCTGTTGCTCAGTCTGTCAGTCAAATAGATTTCCTTGTTTCCCTAGTAATTTTGATCAACATTCTTCTTTTACTTGATTTTTTTTCCTTACCCCCTCTCCTAGCTCTTGTCATGTATTGCGACTTTGTTTTCTTGACAATTCAGATCACAATGTAGTATCTGTTGATATTTCTGTTAGACATGAATATCTTATTCACATGACTTCTTTCTGCTACCAGCATACTGATTGGGATTTATTTTGTGATTTTATTTGCAATACACCTTGGAGTGAAATTTCTGATGTTCCTAGTGAGAATTGTACCACTGACGTTTTTTCTTGAATAAAAGCTGGCATTGATGCTTTTGTACTTTCTCAGAAATACCAAGTGAAACCACAATCTTCTCCTTGCTTCACGCATGTCTGTTCAGCTGCTATAACCCACAGGGTTTCACTTTTTCAACAGTTTGTAAAAGTGTGTTAAATAAGGGTTAGTCTTCTATCGCTCCTCTCTTTACTCAATTTGAGGTGTTATCATCTTCTACTGATAAAGCAGAATATTTTGCTTGTAAATTTTCTTCCAGTTCTACTCTTGACTCATTTGGAGTATATTTCCATTTAGAATTGAGTCTACTGTGTAATATGCATATAACTCCAATGGTTTCTGCTATCATCTTTAAACGGGATCTCCATAAAGCTTGCAAACTTGATGGTAACCCTGTAACAGTCCATAAGAAATGTGCTCCTGGACTGGCTAATGTCCTCTTTAAACTCTACAATAAATGCTTTGCTGCTTCTTGCTTTCCTCTTTGTTGGAAATCCTCTTCTGTAGTTCCAGTCTTTAAGGACTCTGAACTGTCTGATCTTTCTATTGGCCTATTAGCCTTCTACCTCTTTTTGACAAATTACTAGAGGCTCTGATCAATGAATTGAATTTCATCTCACAGGGTTTTCTTTCAGATGAACAATAATGGCTTTTGCTTCTTTAGATCAACTTAAATGCCTCAATGGTTATTGTTAAGAGTCTATCAAACTTTAGACAGGAATGGTGAAGCTTGGGCTGTTACTTTGGATTTTGAAGACATTTGACAGGGTTTGGTCTGCTGGTCTTTACAAGTTAAAAGGTTATGGTATTTCTGGACAAATATTTTGTCTGATACAAACTTTATTATGAAATGAAAGTTGTGTTGAACAGCCACCTTGGATTTAGGGTGTTCCTAATTTTCATTAATAACTTTCCTGAAATCATCAGTTCTCAATTTGTTCTCTATGCTGATGACATAACTATTTAATCCTGTTTTAATGCTAAGTCTGATTAGTTCAATATGGTCAAGTTGGCAGATGATCTAAATAATGACCTACAATCTGTTGTTAACTGGGGTCAAGAAAAGGCTTGTTAATTTTAATGCCTCCAAAATGAAACCACTCTCTTTTAATCATCATAGAGAACCTTATTTGCCTTCCCTTTTAGCATGGCTACTGCTAACCTCCAGTAGAGTGCTTCATTGTCCCTTCTCAGATTATTTTTTTCACTGACATGAAGTGAAAAGATGATGTTGAATTTTTTTTTTTTTTTTTTTTTTTTTTTTTATCATTTCGCCCCAAACAAGGCGGGAATGCCACTAGTACACAGGGGGTTACAGGGAGTGAAGGTGAGAGAAAAGACTGAGTATAGGTGGACTGAAGAAAGGATAAAAGCTGAATGGGGTTTAAAATGATAGAAGATGGTGATGTTGCATTTAAATTTTTGAAGATTGTAATTATTAGGGAAGCAAGGAAATGAAAGGGAGTGCTACGGGTGGGAAGTGCAAGAAAAGAAACTGTTGGAGTAGAAATGGTGGTTACATTTATTTAATTCAACAGTAAATGGTTGAGACCTAGATGCCAATCTAGTAGCATGCTACTATACATGTATTCCAGGCAAAGTGGGGGAAAAAAGCTTGTCAGAGCAGTGACCATGAAAATATTGCTAGGTTTGCAGCTAGGAATGTTGGGTTGTGCTAGATAATTTTTATTACCAGAATCTATTTGACACATTTTTAAGTTTACCATTCATCCATACATTGAATATTGCTGCCACATCTGGTCTGGTGCTTCTGCTATGTATTTAGGGATTCTTGATAAAATCCAAAGAAGATTCTGTAATGTTATTGGTCCTGGCCTAGCATCTGGGCTTCAGTCACTTTCTCACCATCATAATGTAGCTTTCCTGTGCTTGTTCTATAAATATTTTGATGGTAACCGTTCGGATGAGTTTTCTTCGTTGGTACTAGACTTTATGAATTTAAGTGCAGTACTAGATTGGCAGTTTGGTCTCATCCTTTTACAGTTGAAATGGTTATATGTAACCATAAGTTCCATGCTAAGTTTCTTCTCAATTGTGTAATTCTTTTCCAGTTTCTTCCTTTCCAATTAAGTTTGATTTTCAAAAATTTAAATGCAGTGTCAATTGTTATCTTCTGTTTTCTTAATTCCTGTTCTTTTATTGTTTTCTCTCCCTTAATGTTTTCTTTTTCTCCTATTCTCTCATGCTCAGTAATGCCTCTAGTGTGTTAGTTGCTTTATTGCCTTGCTTGGGGTGAAAAAAATTATTAACAAATGTTTTGTTTTGTTTATTTTATTAAAATTCTCCCTTGTATTTTCAATTTAGTTTATAAGCAGGAAACATAACACATAAATGCCATTTGGTAAAGGTTCTTTAAACTTTTTTAACCAAAGATTTTCTTCATTTATTAAAGCAAAATCAGTTCTCACTATTGAATAGTTTTTCACATTTAGAGATAAATAATAAAAACATTAAAATTTAAGTCCTTGAATCTTCATTTTTCATTCAAATTTGATTTGCCAGTTTAAGAAGTGTTTTGTCTGTTTGTGCATGCATGCTTTTTTAAAAGCCCTCTGCTATTAGTGAGAAATAAGAATTTTTAAAATTTTATTTACTTTTAGAATCTATACTATAAAAAATGCTGATTCTCTCTTTCTCTCTGTTATGAACTCTGTGTGACTTTTTCAACTGTATATGTAATATATATATGTTTGTGCCATTTAATATACTCACAAGCATGCACATACA